GGAAAGCAAAAATAATAACCATCTCCAAAACAACTCACCTAGTCTTTTTTATTACCCAAGGCACAAGGTCAAAAGCTTAGGGCCCAGTATCCTTTTTAAACAGTGGAAGAATGCTTTCTGACTTTTGATTAGTTAAAAATGAAGATTCAGTTTTGGAGGAGACAACATGGAAAGCATGGCCAGCGTGGGACCAGAGCCATATATATGCTTTTTACCCTTAAAGACAAATGCCATTTGAGACATAGCACCAGGAAATGATTTTCAGAGCAGACATTTGAGGACAGAGCTGAATGAAACCACCACCTTCAAAAATCTATTTAATTAACTTATTAATTAAAGTCTAATTTCAATTTTAACAAACTCATTGCATATGTTTCTTTCACTGCTGTCAGCTACAAACTTACTGTTGTTGGGTATAAATGTATGTTTTACACAGCCGAGTAAGCACTAAAGGGCACTACTGCAGACCCTCAGCAGGTGAGTACCCTGAAGGATCCCTCCATTCTCGGCCCCTGCCTGTGTGGCTTTCAACCTTCACCACCCAACAATCCTGTCCCTCACTCTGGATTGGCAGGTGGTGGTCTCAATCAGCTCATTCATCTCCTTCCTGGTCTTTTTGCTATGTCACAGGTACCAATCACATGTCCTGCAAATCTGATCCTGTTCTCTCTTTTATCTCCATCAGGCAACCTCTTTGCCCAGCAAAGAAGAAGCTTTGGGACATGGACATGCTCCAGCTGCATTTCTGGTCATGTCTGTCCCCAGATTTGGGCAATAAGACTTAGTTCCTCAGCCTTCCGTATTGCTTCATACCTCTGCGATTTTTCTGTTTTGTCTTCTTGTCCTGTTTGAAAACGCTTTATCCTTCTGATACCTTCAATTTAATCAGCACAAATTTGTTTGTATTAACTTACTGAACACCATGCCTAGCACTGCATCCTGGGCGTGGGGACAGGGCTGAGCTCTCTCAGTGTGCTCATTCCACTCATTTCGAGGGTACCAGGTTTCCCAACGACTATCTATGAGCCTCATATTTTCCTCCACTCTTCTGCTCCTGACCACATTGCTGGGCAGAAGCTCAAGGTGGCTGATAGCATTTCCTTTGCTTGACTCATTATGGACAGCAGAAGATATTCTTCTTTTATGTCTGCGTCTTCAAGTACAGAGGCAAATAGAGTGGGTGTTGTTTCATACACAACATTGGAATTGAATAAATTAAGATGTGATATGGAGAAAGAGGACCCAGAGCAGGGAATTCACAATGCTCACTAAATATTTGCTTAGTGGGAGGTTCAGAGACTCCCAATAATTGTGTAAAGGAAAGAGATAAGTGATAGAATGTGAGTTTCAGTGCATCTGTGTGAGAAGCTCATGTTTGAACAGAGTGGCTGAATGTGTGTTTGGTTTGGTCTGATAAATATTCTTGAGTATTAAGTGCTAAACCAGTGACTGAAGTTTGAGCAGGAAGGCGTGTGTGTCGGTTACTTGTGAAGCGCTCCTGTATTAAAGGTAATGATGAACTCCAGATTTAACTTTTGTCTCAGGCCCACCACTTACCAAATGCATAACTTCATGAGTTACTTAACCTTTCAAAGTTTGTGTTTCTTATATAAAGTAACAATAAAAATACCCAATTTACAATTCCTTATGATTTTGAAATGAGACTGTTTATCTGGAGTACAAGGTATACAGCAAGGAGGCTACAAAAGGTAGTAGTCGGATACCATACTAACTCAAGTAAGGACTACGTAAAAATATATACCAAACTCCTAGATATTAAGTTGAAATGATGAAGTGATCAAGATTCAGCTGGCTTTGACATTAAACAGCCAGTGACTGTTTATGGTTCTGCTTTTCATACATGGTACATTTGGTCACTGGCCATTCAGAGGCAAATTCCTTAGATTTCCTCTCTCCATTCTGACCTCTTTCTCTCGGCTCACTTGTTTTTTATGCTTCACAAATGCATGCTCTGTTTATTTCCAAAAAAGATCGGAGGAGGTTCACCTGCTGTAGCAACGAGGCTGCCTAGATCACGTAGGCCTTGGGACAAATCCGCCGTCTTCTTAAGCTGCTATACAGATCTCATATTGGTTTTAGCTTTTAGCAGGCAAAAGCTTGTAATGGGGAAACAGATCTTCTGGGCCACCTTTAAGAAAGTGCTGTATGAATCCTGAGTTGCAGGACAACAACCAGGAGCTGGAAACAAGGTCAACCGGGAGAGGATTAGGAGCCACAGACTGTCCTGCATCTGGATGATGAGTTCACAAAAAGGTCTCATTCCATTTGATTGCAAGATGTAAAGAAGTAGAAGGTGCAGAGAGAATCTGCCACACGAGAATGCAGGGTGCCTCCCTGACCTGAGCAGAGACCTGAGGTTTGTGGTTAGACCTCACCTCTAAGACTGGGGACAGAGCTGCAGGAGAACATAAAGTGGACTTTCTAAACATTGAACTGCCCAAGAGGATACATATTTCTGAAAGCTTGAAAGCGGCTGGACTGTTAATATTGCAGTTCCCCCTCTTACCTTCTAGTTGTAGGCTGTGCCTTCTCTGTAGGTGGGGCATTACATCCAGTCTATTCTCAGACCCCACACATGGACCACCACTGTGCTAAAAGCACTGTGTGCACTTAATAAATGCCTGTCAGGGTGGTGGATTGGCTCTTCTCTACCCTGCTACCTGCCAGGGGATAAGATACAAGGACAACCAATGCTCATTTGAGGATAATTATGGTACTGGAGTCCCTAAAGCACTTAGTAGCTCTTAACTTTACCTTGAGTCTAAGAGTATCCTCAACAAAGCTGAATATAAAAGTTAAGCATCATGATTATCATCATTCTTATTGCTTAAGTATGCTTTTTTTTCAACATTCAATATTGCGTTGGACTCTGCTTTATAGAGAAGACATGGGTTAGTTATCTCTTCACTTTAATGAGGATTCACAGGTTCAAAAATATTAAATTACTCACCTAAGGCCACACAGCCTATGATAGGCAAGCAGCAGTCTGCTTTTTGGACTTCTGTCCCTGACTTGAGATAAGTTCCTGCACAGAAATCCTCCAAGGATGGAGGACGTGCAGGTGGCTGTGTCTCATCACCCATTTCCAGGTGTGGGTGCTGATCTGGTCTTTAATCCCTGTGTGCTTGCTCTCCAGGTGGCATGTTTCCTTGGATCTTTCCCAGGTTTCTGCAGAAAGACAAGACCACAGCTGTTGTTTCTTCCTGAAGCAGGTATAACATAGAGCCACGCTCTGTGCTACCCATCTGTGTGGAGGCTGTCACCTGCCGTTCACATTTCCCATGTTCCATGCGTGCCGGTCTGAGGACCTTGGCTCTGTCTTGGGAAGACGTGGATGGGGTCAGAAAGTGACAGGAGACAAAGCAGTGGGTCAGGAGGGCTGAAACTAGGCTGCCGAGGTCATCTTATCTATTCATGCGAGGTGTCTACTGATGGACCTGCATACTGAGCTTACACCACAGCTTTTTTCAGCTCCTCTATTCCCTCCTCTTCTTTGGCTGGCTAAGGAATACTACATATGCCCCTTCTAATTAATATGTGGCACAGCATCTCACAGCTATACTGGCGGCACTGGGGGCTGTCTCTTATAGAGTGAAAGACAGATGACAAGCCAGCTTTTGTCTCTCATACGCCATCTAGGCTATGACATGTCCCCACGGACAATCTAGCAACCATAAGGTCTCCCTTTCAGTGAGAGATGTGACATGTGTCAGAAAAATGAGATGTCTCCCTCTTCATTTCAAAGCTTGCTTCTTGCCAAAGGCCCGGGCTTAGCTCCCAGGTGGCCCACCTTGGCTGCTGCATGTACAGAGGAGAGGCTGTGACCCAGTGCTGACCCCGAGTGCAGCCAGATAGCTGTTTACTGTGCTCCTGGTCTCTGTTAGAGCCTGAACCATATGCCATTGGCCAGATCTCTCTTTACTGCTGCTACTGCAATGGGAAAGTAACCATTCTGCAGTTTAACAGAGCTGAGGACGAGTTCATAAAATGAGTTGCGATACATAGAAATAAATATTAATCAAAGCTGACAATGCAGAATACAGTAGTGCCCAAGGAAGAAAATCTTATCTGAGTCTGCTAAATGATTTCCATAAAGCTGAGCTGACTCTCAGATAATATTATGAAACCATTATACAAGAGTACCATATTTTCAGTTTTTTACAAACGTTAGTTCATGCTTGATCCTCATGCTGTCCTCGGGGAACACTATTATTATCACCCCTGTCTTGACTGCGAAAAAGTTGGCTATAAGTATCATTAATCTGTGGCATCCATGTTCTGAGAATATCAGCATGACCCGCTAATCATGCTGTCAAAGAAATGAGCCTGCACCCTGTAGCATGTAAGTCTTTAATAGAATAAGTTTTCTGCCCATCACTCCACCACTGGATTCTCAATAGCTAGTGATTGGCTCCCTGAGTACTTACAGTGTTTTGAGGGTATTTTTGGTTGCCCGGGAGGATGACCAAGTACTTCTGGCACCTGGAGAGTGGAGGCAAGGTTTGCTGCTAAACATCTTACCCCATGGAAGAGAGATTCAAACAACAAAGCATGATTTAACTCACAGTGTCAATAGTGCCAAGGTTGAAAACTGCTACTCTAACTTAAAGTCCTCTGCTTTACAAATCCCACACTCATCAGCTCTAAAAGTACCACCCAACCAGGCAGCAAGGTTCTTTTTCAGTCATGAAGGATCTATTCCACTGAGCTAGTCCGGTATGGGATGCAGTAGGAGAGGGGTCATGGCAGATTCATGAGACAGTCACTGGGAGCGTAGAGATGAAGATGTTTTAGTGTCACTTTGGAAAGTTCTGAGACAGAATTGGTAATTTTTTAAAAAGATGGAAAAAGCACGACAAGAAAGCTGTTGCACACTATGTGTGAAATGACCTTCTAGGGTTTCTGCAGTACCTAAAAATGACCAGCAGAGGGCAACTGGGGCAACAGAGCAGCAGAAGCGAAGTTTCTGCCCTCCAACTGGGAATTCCAAAGATGACAATACATGATCATAAGTCAGGAGTTCAACTGGAATTAAAAGTATGAAAGAGGAAGTGAAGCAGTAACTGCCTGCTGGCTCCAGGGCACGCAGAGTTCACACAGGTAAGAGATGCAATAATGGAAGAACTGGGGGTCACAGAGAACCAAGGCTGAGGGGCGAGCGACCAGAGTAGATACTGGGTTGGAGCAGGAGAAACTGGTCCGTTCACAGATGTGCATCCCACATTGCAAGAGGGACTAGGCCTCTGCTGTGCCTTCAGATGGCAGCTGGGTGCTGGCAGCGTTTACCTCCTCCTCCCCTGGGCCTCCATTTTGCTTCTCAGAAATTCAGTGCCTAGGATCTATTGTACCATACAGGCAGTGTGGGACAGCTGGAAGCACACACCTGCAAGGTGTGCAGTATGTGAGCACACCTGGAAGAGGCCATTCGGAGCCAGTGAAGACAGCCAAACTCCGCCTACTGTCTTTGGCAGGAAGCTGGCTGTTTTGGTGCCAGCTCCTGCGCATGCCACGGTGGCCCTGCAAACCCCGTTCCTCACTCCTGTGCACCGGGCTGGCTTTGCATAGACATCCGTTAAAAGTCATTCTGCACATACTTTCTGTTTTGCAAAAATAAAACAGTGAAGAAGAGTTAGGACGCCTCCATGGGGGTCCCCAGGAAGACGTGCAAGTACTCTGGACTTACCGAGGTAGAATTCTCATCAGAATGAACATGCAGGGTCACTGTCCAGTACTCATCTTTATCATTACTGCTGTTACACATTCTCAACATTTGTTTCATGGGTTTCTGCAACAGAATCAAGTGTGAGCATCTTGGCTAGTGAGTACCTTGCCAAGTGAGTAATGAGGAGAAGGATTGGGGCTGGAGATGGTGTAACCGTACAGTGCTTGTAAGATACAAAATACTGGGCTTATCTAGAAATCCAATTAAAACAGCCACATAAAATTCAGAGCACAAGTGGGGAACATTGTGGCTTAATTTTTTATAGAACATTTTTGCCTGCTATCTATCAAACGGAAATAAATAACTCTCCCATGCTAAAAAGAGCGGGGAAAGAAACTGTTATTTAAGTTCTGGGCACTGCCTGAACTACTTTACTTGTTCTGTATTAATCCTTAAAACATCTCTTTGAGTTATAATTATTACAGCATTTTCAGAAGATGATATTGAGGTTCTAAGGTATCGTAATGATCTAATAAATTTTATTAAGTGCCTTCTGTATCAAGATCTGAGCTATATTCTGGCGACAATATCACACAACAGTCTCTCCTCTGGGTATAGGATTCATACACTGATAACTACATATTAGAAATATTATAATGCAAATAATAATAGCAGGGAGACACAGTTTCATGTGATGCAACACCAGCTAATTCTCGAAGGTGCAGGGATTCTCTAGTCTTTCTGTACACCTGATACCATCGTCTTGTTCTGCTAAAAATGATATCTCCAATTTCCATGGAAACCCTCTGTAGGCTAACTAGAATATGGCTTGTAAATTTAAAATAGGTAGGGCGTGGCATTCTCTAATACATGCCATGTGCATTTCCTGTTAGTAGACTTAATTCTATGTGGCCTATCACGAGCCTTCCGGGAATCTGTAGTATGGGACAATATTAGTACAATAGCTTACCAAGTATATGTTACCACTCTTTTCTTATCCAACAAACTACATTCATCTGAAATACCACTAGGAGCAGTTGAGCTACTTACGCCTTCCCTCTGCCCCAAACTGCAGCCCCTTTGAAGGATAAAGTGCCCTTTGGCCCTCACTTGGGGTTCCCTCACCAGCCTTGGCCTCCCCACAGTGATCCTGTCCAAATGTCCTCACTGGAGCCCATTTCTAGAATACACCGAGGAAGGGAGTCTGACATCAGTAGGCAGTTACACACTCTGCAATGGCACAAGCTCTGCTATGGCTTCTCTAGTTATCAGGTTCCCTTTCAAATATCGGTTGAAGGTAAAAGGAAGTCAGGACTGTTTGTAATAAAGCGTGTACTATGCCCAAGTGTTTCGTGGTGGCACTGCTGCTGTCACAGGGCTGGCTGCTTACCAGGGTGTTGTTAACCAGAGGGATACTTACTGTTACATCACATCTGAAAGGCTATCAAAATGTGCTTCTCATTCCCTTGGATTACTTTGAATAAAACATTAGCTCGCAATGTGGGCACTACTTCCTTAAAAGGAAGTCATTAAAATGACTTTAAATCAAGCATTGTTAGCTGCAAGAAGTCAGTACACGGGTAGCAGCTGTGTGGTTAGGGTGGCTTATGAGATCCTGGCTCTATAGAATTAAGAAAAAGCTGAAACCCCCACGGCTTGCCTGGAGACCTTACAGAATATTAACGTAGAAGGTTCATAACAGCAATATAGTTCATTTTAATTAGGATCCCACAGTCCTAGAAATTAAGTTGGAAAAGATCTATTAGGTCATCTGGCCTATCACCTTCCTCATCCCCTTTTTAATGTAGGATTGTTCCCCAGGGTCTGCTCACACATGCAGGGTTCAGTCTAAATTTAAATGACTGCAGAGAGGAGGCTTACATCATTCCCCTTGGGAAACTATTACACAGTCTAATGGATTTCACCATAGTTTTCCCCAGCCACGCAGCCCAAATTTCTCTTTGCTTGAAATTGTCTCATTTTTTCTTATTATAAACTCTCAGATTCAGAACAATCAAAAATGACAGTAGGAATGACCGATCCTCTAGTTTCTATGCCCTGACCCTGAATGCTTTCTGAGATCCACATCTTGTAGGTGAATTGAAGCATCACCAATCTTTTTTTATCCGTAGAAGCTGATTTTTCTTGTAAAAGGAATCCACACACTCACCAGATGGAGGTAGTTTTGAGTTCTAATGGTGGCAGTGTATTTCACATGATTTGTGGCCACTCTGCCTTGTTTAAGTCCCTTATGAATGACAATAGATAATACATATCCCAACTGTGTTGCTGTTATGAACCTTCTATGTTAATATTCTGTAAGGTCTCCTCCAGGCAAGCCACGGGGGTTTCAGCTTGGGATATGTTACCTTGGTATCTAGAGAACAGAGAAAATCACTCTGGCTTTGGGAAGATGGAACCTAAGACTTTATCTTTGTTAGCACAATTTACCAACCAACCTACACGGATCATATTAGTTTTCCTTGAATGACACTCAGAGACATTTAGAACTTCAAGTTGAATGGGCCAACACAGAGGTCTGGATCCTCCTGAAGCCCTATATTTTTCATGTATGTGCATGCCAGTACAGAGGGAAGCAGGAACACCAGAAATAAAGGAAAAATAGCAGCAGAACTGCAAAGAAAGCATACCTCACATTTACCATTCCTTCCTTACAGAGGAGAATGGAGTCCACGCATGGTGGGACTGTAACTCATCAGGACTCCTTAATTAAAAAGGAAAGCCTCCCTGGTGATTTTATTTCCTTGGGTTTGTTATTATTATTACTATTACTACAGTATGAGAAAGACAGCGATGCCCTGCTCTAAGAGAGGATCATTCTTCTGAGCAGTAATGATGCTGGAAAACACTAATGGATTCAGAGCACAGCAGGGCCAAACTGCAGCTCCCGCCGTCCCACAAGCAGCGGTCCCTAAACACAATCCCCTGAATTATTACACAAGACAGCAACTCAGGCAGAGTGAGATGGAGAGAGAGGAAATGAGCCTCACAGTGTGATCAAACGATAACCAGGGTATGGTGCACACATGACCAAGCTTCCGTTTCTGGGGACCAGGTGCCCATTCATGTATTTTCTCTTCTCATCTTTTATTTACTGCATATGCTGTGCTCGGTGCAGGCGCTGTGCTAGGTACTAGGGATCACTGTCCTTGCCTGTTGGATTGGGGCCGCAGGGCACACTTCCAGACAGTTACCCTCTCACTCTGCTCTGCTTTGGTACTTAAGATCAATCTAAAATATTTTTAAATGGATTACAAGATCCTGTAAAAATGTATAAAGTGGAGGAAAATGACAATTAATTCTTGTCTGCTCTTACTCATAATTTAATGTATTTTCTTTCAAAATCTAACAGTTTGGCCTATTTGATGAATGCTTTATTATTTTTTAAATTTTAACAACAAAACAGCTCAGCAGTGTAAGCGCCTTCTCAGCAAACGCAAAGTCATGAGTTCAATCCATGGCACCAAAAATGAATAAATAAATAAATAAAAACAGAAAAGGGACAGCGATGATACAGAATTTCAAAAATGATAGGAAAATAACACGAGTTAATATATTGCATATTATTATCTTAAAAGTAGTTCAAATGATAAGATTTAGGCATAAAAAATCAAACAATGAAAGCACAAACTGTTCTTTTCAATGAACTTACAAAGATTAGTAGTATAATTATCTACCATATATATATATATATATATATATACATATATATATATATACACATACATGCACACACACACACATATAGTAGACTATATACATATAATCTTTATCCTTCTTCTTTTTCTCCTTTTCCCTATCCCAATTGTTCTTTCCTTTTGAGTACTTTCTTTCCCTTTCATTTTCACAATATCTGTTGTACATTTTGGATCTTATTACCCTTTCAATTTTTTTTACACTAGGGACACAATACGATATTTACGCATGCAAGTTTGATTTGTTTCACTTATGAGTATGATATCAAGTTGCATCCATTTAATTACAAAAGCCTCAAGTTTATCTTTCTTTATAGCTGAGCAATACTCCATTGCATAAAAATACCATATCTTTTTTATGCATTCCACAGTTGATGGACATTTGAGTTGTTTCCAAGATTTAACTATTACACACTATGCTGATATAAACACAGGTGCATATATATTGCTGTGGCATGGTATTTTTCACTTCTTCTAGGAAAATACTCATAAGGGGAATATCTGGGTGGAATGGGACCTTCAATCCTAGTTTTTTGAGGAATCTCTGCAACGATTTCCACAGTGGTTGTACTGGCCTACACTCACCAACAGTGGAGAACGGTTATGCTGAACGTTTTAAAGTCATGAATATCAGTATTATAACTGACGCCTCCTCTGCATCCCCCCGTTTTCCCCTCCCCCTACACCAGTACCTCCATCCTGTTTCATGATTATCATTCCTT